GAACGCACCAGGGCAAATGCTGTCAGGCAGCAGGGCAGGTGAGGACGTACATATTGCTTGTGAGCAATGACAAAATCACCGCTGGAATCTTTAGTTATCCTCATGGGGCAACCACTGGGCCGCCCTCACAGAAGAGCATGCATGCAAATGTCCATCAGGTGGCAGCATTTGCACACATCCCTATTTAAATTCTTGCTGGTTGGAACACCTTTGGAAGAGGGGTTGGAGCAGCAAAAATTCTGGAGCCCTGGGCTCTAGGTCAGATCCATCTGAAGTATTTGGGGAGGGGAGCGACCAGGGAGGCTGCTATGTCGCACATACGAGCAGCACGCATGAGCACCTAGAAACCTTGGCAGGTGGAGGCAGCAACACCTAAGCAGTTATGTGGCCACAGCAGTGTGAGGCCAGTGAACACTAGCTGAAAGTTGAGCCACCCAGCTGCCAAGGGGCCTGTAGGAGGCTCCAGACCTTGCTGGACTCACTTTGTTAGAAGTTTAGCTCTGGGGAGTCAGGGGGAGATCCTGTTCTCAGAAAACAAGCTGTGGGAACCCTCTTCCTTTGCCATGGCCAGTGACGTGTTACCCATTGGACACAGACGAACTCCTCAAACAAAATAAAACTCCAGACTTCCCATTAACAGCAACAAAGCTCACTGACATGGAAGGGGCAGCCTTCCTCTCCATCCACAGACCACATGGGCTGGGCCTGGAGAGTCCAAAGGAAAGCAAGGAAGATGCAGCAATTCAGCCAAGTTCCACATGGAGGTGGGAAAAGGGATCTCAGGCAACACAGTTTCTCTCTAGTCCTCACTGCCTGATCAGGAACAGCCAGCTCTCCTGCCCCCCAGCCCCTCCCCAAACACCAAAGAATGCAGATGACCACTAAGATGGTGATTTCATGCAGCCGCAAAATGCCCTCGTCAGACCGAGAGAAGAAGAAACTTAGTTTTGTAAGAGCCACTGTGGATTATAAAGCCATTGCACTTCAGCAGGGAACTCCGAGAGAAACAAGGAGTGAAAAGAAACCACCACAGGACGACAGAGAGAGAAAGGAAAGGGAAATCATCAGGACACGACGACAGGACAAGAGACAGAGCATTTCAGCCGCAAAATGCCCTCGTCAGACCGAGAGAAGAAGAAACTTAGTTTTGTAAGAGCCACTGTGGATTATAAAGCCATTGCACTTCAGCAGGGAACTCCGAGAGAAACAAGGAGTGAAAAGAAACCACCACAGGACGACAGAGAGAGAAAGGAAAGGGAAATCATCAGGACACGACGACAGGACAAGAGACAGAGCATTTTCCGTGGGCAGGCCCCGCAGAAAAAGAGCCGCCGTGTCCGTGTAAATACAAAACCCAACGACCTC